GGAGAAACTGGAACCCTTATTCACTGTTGGTGGGAGTGTAAAATGGTGCAACCTTTGTGGAAAGTGGTGTGGTGCTTTCTCAAAAAGTTGCAAATAGAGATACCATTCAACCCAGCAATTCCACTACTGGGAATATACCCTAAAAAGACCATAACTGACAGCCAAGCAGATAGATGCACACCCATGTTCATCACGGCTTTGTTCACAATAGCTAGGAGTTGGAAACAACCTAAGTGCCCATCAACAAATGAATGGATAGAGAAGCTATGGTATATTCACACAATGGAATACTAAGCTGCATTGAAAAAAAAGGAACTTATGCAATATTATTCAAAATTAGTCACCCTGGAGAACATTATGCTGAGTAAAATATCTCAGTCACAAAAGGACAAATACTGCATGGTGTCACGGTTGTAGAAAGTGACTGACATCAGGGTTGGGGTAAGACTGAGAAAAACTGGATATTGAAACAGATGAGGGAGAGAGCAGTTTAAAAGTGATATATGATAGCATATTGTGATTATCACAGGAATCCAGAATTAAGGTTGCATAGTGGAGTGCATTTGGGCAGCGGTGGGGGAGGGGAGCAGGGTCAGGGTCTGGGGGGGATTGTATACCAATGAAGAAGTTTATCTTTTGCTTTTCAAAGAGAGGAGTGAACTGGGGGGAGGGAGGGTAAAGAAAAAAGTGCAACAATGAATGAATGAAAAGCCAAAATCTCTGTAAATGTTCATTAAAATTAATAAAAAAATGAGGAGTCAGAAAACCTCAAACTTGGCGTCAAACCATAAGAAGAAAAAAAAATACAGATACTATCGCTAAAGTGACTTTTCGGTCCCTATAAAAATGAATGGTTATGGCTAAAGAGGGCATAGGTTCATTAACTAGAACATTTCTGATGTAAAACTATAGAACCATATCTGCTTTTCTATAGAAAAAAATAAACTCCTACACATGTTCCACAAAATTTCATACTAAAAATAACAGGGCTTGTGGGGAAAAAAATTTCTTAATACAAGGAAAATGTCTTTGTCACTCCTTCATCTGCTTCTGCAGCCCAGCTTAATGTTGAAAGCACACCTGTTCTCAAAGCCATTAAACTAATCATTTTTTTCACCAGGTTTTTCAGCTTCTCCTTAAAGTCATCACCCAAGACGATGAGGTTGGCTCAAAATAGAGCAGGGTTCGGAGCTGTTGTACATAGGGTCCCTATGAGTCACAAGCGACTCGACAGCACCTAACAACACAACAACAATAAGACTTTCTCTTTAATTATGAAAATTCAGAAGAAAATAATGTTTTAACCACACTTTTTCTGCATTGCCCTAACGTTATTCCATATTTAATGGGTACTTATGAGATGATCTATCTCAAAGAGAAATGTCTGGCAGCAGAAGAGGCCATGTATGTCCTCAACATTGATGACACTTTCTTTTTTAACTAGGTCACTGGATCTACGTCATTGGCATCAAGTATTATCTCTATACAAAGATAGAAACATAAATTTTCCCATAGATGAATTCATTTTGTCTAAAAATTAACTAGAGTTACAATAAACAGGTGGAAAGTCCCTAGTATCTTGTTATAAGTTTGTTTTATGAAAGCTTTTTCATTTAAAGGAAAGTTGGGAGCAGGAGTGGCATCCACTTCCTAAAACACATGCCTCTGGAAATACTATGAACTTTGATAAATGTTAATAGTTAAAGAGAGGCTTCAGGCCTTTTGTTCATAGGGTTGCTATGAGTTGTGTTTGACTTAATGGCAATCAACAACAATGACAGGCTTTTATAATGTACAAGTATTATAAGATAAAATCACTTAATATCAGAAGTGAAAAAAACAAAATTCATCAAGGTCACAGTGAAAAAAAATCACAAAATAAATGACATCAGATAATATATATGCTTTGTGCTTTTGAAATATCTATACTGCCCCAGGTTACCAGAAAAATAATATTCTTGTGTTCCAACCATTTGATGTCAAGCTCAATCTTTTCCAGAGCCTTTAAAAAGAAAACAGGCTAAACCACAAAAGGCTATTTTCTCTAAAATGTGGCACTAACAGATAACAATATGAGTGAAATGGCATTTGAAGAAGAATATGCTCAGAGTTGACAGCCCAGAGTTTCAAAGAATGTTAAGAGTTAAACAACAACAAAGAAAAACAAACAAAACCAAGAAAGTATTACTCACATCCATAGTTTTCTTGAATTGTAAATTCCTTTGTTTATGGATCGCATCCATTATAACTTCTGTCTGAAGAGAGAGAACAAGCACTATTAATAAAGAGCACAAAATATTATTACTAAACAATTGTGATTTGGGCCACGTAGTTAACATAGATTATCTCATTCTGTACTTATATTAGGTGTTGTAGGGTGGTTGTTGTTAGGTACTAGCGAGCAATTTACAGCTAACAGCGACCCTCTGAAGAGCAGATCTGAGCCCCGTCCTCTCCTGCACCAGCCTCAACCTGTCTGATACGCTCAAGCCTGTTGTTAGAGTCCTTGTGTCAATTCCTCATGGACCTTTTCCAGCATGATGTCTTTTTCCAAGGACTGGCCTGTCCTGAAAACATGCCCCACGTATGTGTGAGACAGTTTTACCAGAAGGAGCTCTCCAGGGAACATTTTGGTTGAACTTTCTCCAAGACAGCTTTGTTTGTTTTTTTGGCAGTCCATGAAATATTCAGTACTCTTTTCCAACACCACAATTAAAAGGCATTCACTGTGAGTACACAAAAGTAAGGTGTGGGGTATTTTTCTCCATAACATACAAACATGTTTTGATGAATTCTCAAGACACTTGGTGGAATATTTGTGATAGACACATTTCACATATGAGAGGGGGTTGGAGTCTTTTTCAATTTCATATTCATTTAATACATTCTGGATTAAATGCAAGTGTCAAGTTTTGATGCTATTTAATCTTCATCCCATGAGTGTTGTTGGATATTTGAAATCTCCCCTGAAGGAGAGAGATTCCTCAGTAAGCTAGGCAGCAGTCAGTTCCGAGCCCAACCAAACGTGAGGGGTACAGAAACGGCCATACATCTAGCAATGGGAAGACACTACAGACAAGGAAAAGAAGCAGAATTCAAACATGAGCTCCCATGGAAAGACAAAGGGCCATATCCTAGGAATTACAGACAGTTATGTTTCACAGGGGTCACTGTGTCCATTGGCCAGGAGGAGGTACTACACAGACCAGAACAATTGGTAATGTTGGTCTTTTCTGTGGTTCTTTCTAGTCTGAATATACATACTGTGACTCATCTATCAGGAGCATCACTATTTTGTATTTGTGGCTCAACCCTAGCTTCCTTATCCTCAAGTCCTACGTAACGCCTGCTTCAAGCACCATGCAGGTGGCTGTAAATCTCTAGCATTAGTCAAAATACTTTATTTCATAGTATTTCTCCCTCTGATACTAGGGATTCCTGGCATTTAACAGATGGCAAGGTTCTTAGAGAGCAGTAGTCCAACCTTCAAACCTGGTCTGTGTGACCCCTGCGTCAAGAGGTAATATGCTTTGTGCAAGGCCACTCAGGGAGTTAACGAATGCCAGCTCCAGCTCCATTCGCTCCATCACCTTGATTAAAGTTTCTTCATGTCCATGTTCACTTATTGAGTGACCTCCATGTGTGACCTCAGGTGAATCAGGGATTCTTTTTCAAGTCTCTTTTTAGAAAGTATTACTTTTAAGGTTCAAAAACTTTCTGCTCAGACCAACTTCAGTGGGATTTTGATTGTACTTTTATTATTGATAACACAGAGACACACAAAAATGCAATCACCTCTGCTATAAGGAGGATCAGCTATGAGTCTGGTTTTGACTCAGCGGCACATAACAACAAAACAGGGTGAGGAGAAGCAAGACAAAGGGTAAAAATGGGAAAAGAAATTTGCAAATGAACCTGTAGCAAATGACTGAAAGAGTAGCTCTGTGGCCCATCCGTCACTCTATTGACACTGAGACTGTATGTGTGAGACTGGAAGTAACTTTCCATCACGTGCTGGAATCAAGATGGCCCTTTTCTTGGGAGATAGTTCTGCACACAGGTGGCTCTAAATTCTGCTGTGATCATTCCAACTTGCACTGACGATAAAACAGAATATGGATACCAGCAGAGAGCGCAACTGGCCACGTCCGAGCTCTGCTACTTAGGACATTTATGATGTGGAAAGAAGTTGAGCAGCTGCAAGTATCAATGAGAAGGGCTCCTAAGGCCCTCCGAGAGAGAAAGAGCCTCATCTGTTACCCCCTTGCCTTTATTGCCTTTCATTCGGCTGATGTTGTCTTCAATGTCATTGCCCTCCAGAGAGCTTCTCATACCCCACAGAGGAAATGAGGTGTCCTCATTGTATGTTCACATGGCACCTACACTCCTACATTGTACAAGGTTCATCACACTTTGCACCAGGACCACTGTCTCATGCTCATCTCTCTAACCAAACTCAAGCTTCATGTGGACACAATGTCCAATGAGTTAATGCACCATAAACATTCTGAACAGCCATTCCACCTGAACCTCACACACTCAGTGTACTTAGAGAAACCAAATGAAGCTTTCCTTAATGAATGGAAAAATCATCAATTTCAAGAAGTGAAAGACCAGGGCGTGCCAGGTTTGACCAATGAAAATGGGAAGTTAGCGCTGACACATTTTCTCCCAACGTAAATGGTTAAAAGAAGAAGAAGAGGAAAAAACTGTATCTAAATAAGGAAGTGGCACAACCCAGAAGTTACTTTGACACAGGTAGTAATGAACTTACTAAGACATTTTGGACTGCGGAAAGAAATCTCTAAAGGTACTTCCCTGCTGTTGAGAGCAGATAAAAACCAGAGGAACTGGGTGAGCGTGGTGCATTGAGCATAGTCTACTCTATTGCCTAACAGAATTCAGAGTGCTCTTCCAGCTGGATGAACTTGATCTCTGTAATTTGTTAGGAGGGGAAGTTTCAGAAGGCTTGCAAAATTAGCAAAACTCTCCTTGAAATGACCAGAGTTACTAAGTGCTCTTGAAAATGTGAGGAAATGACTCTCCTTCCCTTTTAGAGGAAATCATTCTGATTGTTAAAGACAGCATTTTGAAATATTACTTATTCTTCTAGAGAAGAGTCAGTTAAAAAGGGTTTGACCCTGCTATGTGTGTAATAAACATGCTATTTTTGCTCTAGAAAAGTGGTTAGGATTAACATGAAGCAACAGATAAAGAAGGAGAGTCCAGAGTGGGTTGGGGAAATAGAATGGGTAGCTAATTCCCTCCATGGAAAATTTGCTCCTTTGCCATGGGACTCAGGACTGCTTGGTTCCCTGCAACCAATACTGACAATTTTGATCAAAGATGCTAAAAAAGATCCTGGTCAAAAGAGGGTGATATGAAGAAAAGAAGGTCATATTCACGTGGAATCCAGACTTTCTAGAACCACAGAGGCTAAATGAACATCAAAACTGCTCCCCTATATCATTTTAGACAAGGGCCTCAAATCAAAAGTCTACAGAATTGTACAGGGGCTCCACAAGAAAAATGCTAGTTACAAAATGGACAAAGGACAAGGAAAGAATTTTCACAGAGGAAGATATTCAGATGACCAACAGACACATAAAGAAATCCTCAAAATCACTGGCAATAAGAGAGATGCAAATCAAAACCACAATGAGATACTATCTTACTCCAGTAGCAGTGGCAAAGTTTAATAGGACAGCAAGTAATAAATGTTGAGGAGATTGTGGAGAGATAGGAACTCTTACATACTGTTTGTGGGACTGTAAAATGGTACAACCATTCTGGAAGGCAGTTTGGCTCTTCCTCAAAAAGCTGAACTTAGAAATTCCATATGATCCAGCTATTCCACTGTTTGGAATATATCCTGAGAAAATGAGAACTGAGGCACAAACAGAGACTTGTACATCAATGTTCATAGCAGCATTATTCACTATAGCTAGAACAGGGAAACAGCCCAAATGTCCAACCGCAATCTAATGGATTGAGAAATTATGGTACATTCACACAATGCAACACACAGGAGAAATGGTTTTATAAATCACTAATTTGAGAGGGACTGGAGAACAACACTATGCTAAGTGAACTAACTCAGTCCCATAAGAACAAATATTGTATAAAACTATTATTATTTATTATTATTATTATTATTATAGAAATAGATAACTAGTAAAACGTGTATGAGAATGGGTGGGGAGTGTAACTCTAGGGTCACACAATTTGATGTGTGAAGGGAGAGGTGGGTTAAAGAAATAGGAAAGATACAGTGTGAAAAACAATAAATATGGAATTTGTAAGTAAACCAGAATAAAATACAAAGTTTAAAAAAATTTTGAAAACACTGCTTCCCTAAAAGAAATTTTAAACCTTGAGCCAAAAATGTCCCTTGAAGTCTTCTTAAAACCAAACAAATAATTTAACTATTAACAAAAATCTGCCTTGAGCATTGGGCTCTTTAAAAATCTGTTTGGATTCATCCGTGTTACCACTTGGTTCATAAACCTGTTGTGAAGGAAGCAAAGAATCTTTGGGAAAAAACTTCAAGTTCTATCTAATGGGGGGGGGGGGAGTCTATTTGGAATAAAATTGAAAGTAGAAACTCAAAAGATTAGATATGAAACTTGAGTCCCATTATGTTAATGGGAGAGAAATGGCATAAGAATGGTTGTACATCTCAAACAACATTGTCAATATCACTGAATTGTACATGTAGAAACTTAACAACAACAAATAAAATAAATTATAATGAAGAAAAAGTAGGATCGGACACATCCTCAGATCTAAGTGCCCTTAACAGTCTACATGAAAGACCTTGGTCTGCTGTTCCATTGAATGTTAGTTTCCTCCCTTCCTTCCTAATAAGAAAAGCAACACACATACAGATCATGAAACAGGAAGAGACTGTTTCTAAGAGCAGAACATGTCATGAAAAGACGGTACATATCAGGTAAAATGTCTCTTAAGGTGGTGGTGTTGTTCACCAAAAAGGCTAAATGACCATCAAGAATCAGACTCCAAATTAGAAGTGCAGGCAGAGACGCTGAAACTGGCCCAAAGGTAGGCTTGGCCTTAACAGCCAATTAGTGGATTCACATACTGCAGACAACTATCCCAAGGAACTATAAAGAACCAGAAAGCTGTCTGACACTTTTTTAAAAAGTAAAGACTAGTAATACCATTTGATCCAGCAATCACACTAGTAGATACACAATCCAAAGAAATAAGAATTATCATACAAACATATATATGCACAGCCATACTCCTTGTAGGGAGCTCTGATGGCTGCGTGGGGTAAAGAGTTATGCTGCCAACCCAGTGGTAGGCTGTTTGAATCCACCAACTGCTCCAAGGGATAAAGCTAAGGAATCTTCTCCCATGTGATTTACAGCCTCTGAAAACACCTGGGAGGAACAGCTACGAATTGGTTCCGATGGCACATAACAGCAACAATAGTCACTGTGCACTATTTGCAATAGAAAATAAATAGAAACAACCCAAATTATATTAATGGACAAATAGATAAACTATGATACATTGACACAATGGATTATTATGCAACACTAAAAAATAGTAAAGCATTAATAAAACCCTGTATACCATGGATGTAAAATAGAAGACATTGTTATTATGTGCTAGAAGACATTATGCCAAGTTAAGTAAGTTAGTCACAAAGAGGATATTATGGTATAAGACCAGTATTAGTAAAAGTTAAGGAAAGGTTTACACACATCTTTCTTGGATGATTACCAGGGATGGGAAGGGAAGGAGAGAGGAGGAAAATAAATGGATAGAAAAGCTGTATGAAAGGAAAGACAATATACAATAATAGGTTGATCAGGCATTATCACTGATTAATTATATTATTTATCATAATTATGGGAGCTCCGGCAGCCTAGTGGTAAAGAGCTGTGCTGCCAACCCAAAGGCATGCAGTTTGAATACACCAGTTTCTCCACAGAAGAAAGACCAGCAGTCTCCTCCCATGCAATTTACTGCCTCTGAAAACTTGCTAGTGGGGCAGCTGTGAGTAAGTTCCGACTCAGTGTCACAGCACAACAAAAGCATTACAATTAATGTTATTAAAAATGTTATTTGAATAATCAAATGACATTTTAATTACAATGTCAAAACACAAAATGAATATGAATGATTGACTGAAAACCCAGAATGATTTGAAAACTTTCATTCAAATAAAAAAAGAAAAGAAAATTTTAAAAAGAAAACAATTCTAGAAAGATTTTGAGGAAGGGAGAAGTTTACCAATGGCTATGCAGAGCTATCCAGAAAACCTGGGAAGGATCTCTTCAGACGCTATATAAGAAATAGCCTGTCTCTCACATAAGGGTAGGTAAGACTAGCCTGAGAAAGAAGATTCTAGAAGGGCCTTCTTGATTACAGTTTCAGACTCAATATACATGTCTTTTAGGAACTAAATAGAAAGAATTTAGTGTCTGGTCTAGTCTAAATTTTTTACTATAAACCTGAACTTTTTTTTATTTTTATAACTTCCCAACTATTTATCAGGTCTGAATGGCATCCACTTCCTCAACAACATGCCTCTGGAAACTCTATGAACTTTCATAAATGTTGATAGTTATTGAAAGGGTTCAGGCCTTTTGTTGATAGAGTCGCCATGAGTCATGCTCAACTGGACCGCAATCAACAGCATTAATAACTCTTGCTCATGCCTGTCTCCTTCCATGTAGTTTGCGAATCAGAGTAAAACAGCGCCAATTTTTAAAAGCTCATTCATATATGCTTTTAAAAGAAAAATATAAAAGAGCGTTCCCCAGGCCCTCAGCTTCCCTGTTTGTAAAACGTGGTGGTTGGGCTGGGTAGGGAGGGGAAGGTCTCTCCACCTCTTCACCCTTCCTTTACTGCCCTTTCTATGTGGAGAACTGTGGTCTGGGAGCAACCCAGTTCAAATGTTCTAGGTTCCGCCAAAGATCAAAGGGTGCTCCTTTCCAGTCTGATAATAGTGATCACAGCAAATGATTGCCAGCCACTTGTAGCCAATATTTTCTGGACTTCATACCCTTTGATAATTTTTTATAATATAGGGATTTTTATTTCTCCCCCCCCCCCGAAAGTAAAAGAAAGCAGACTGACTCTCAGAAATCTCTTAAGAATTTTTTAAAAGGTGAACTGTTTGAGATGTAGAATGGGCACACAGGCATAGCCACACGGGTTCCCACATGGGTTCTCAGTAAGTAATCTTAGGTTAAAAGAAGAGCATCTCTTCTTGAGGGCGGGACTTGAATCAAAGCTTTTCATGAACAAACAAGACTGGGATTTTCTGTAGGAGGAAAGTCAAAATCTTAACATATATGTAAATCTAACTAACCTTTTTCCGCTGTAGCTTTTGCTTTTCCCTGAATTCTTCCATTTTCCTGGCCTCTTCTCTTAGAGTCTGTGCAAGCTGAATGTGACACTGTGCCACATTGTCTACTTCTGCAAAAAGAAATTTTAAAAACATAACAAACAATGTCTAGATTCATGTGAATTCAAATAAGCAAAGCTGTTAAAATACTGGAGCAAATGGCAAAATTAACATCACTTGACCACCACCCTGAGCTCTTCTGGATACCTTCATTGCCTTGACTACCAAGAGCAGAGTGAGAAAATCTTTAGCTTAGTTAGCCGTCAACCCAAAGGCTTAGTGGTTTGAAAGCACCAGTGGCTCCACAGGAGAAAGTGGGGAGATGTCTCCTGTTGGAGTCACAGGCTCAGAACCCCAGTGGTTGATGACTCTGCGTCAGAACCAAATTGATGGCAAGGAGTTTGAGTTCTGTTGAGTATATGTTCATGATTGAAGATAAAAACAGCCACAATCCTCTTCTCCTGGAGCTTGCCATTATCTTTGCACAAATAACGCACACATTATGCAGTTTTTTGAAATCATACATCTTTCTTATGGCCCAGTTTCCTATGTGTGTTATGCATGCTAAATATGTGCATATATTGTCTACAGGGATGGTTTACATGCAAAAATATAGTACTTTTTTAAAAAATACAGTGTATTTCAGAAGGCATCAGCAAAGGAGAGGAATAGTCTCAACGAGATGGATTGACATGGTGACTTCAGTGGGCTCGAGCATGTCTCGGAGGCTGTGAGGACGGTGCAGGAGAGGGCAGGGGTCAGATCTGTTGTTCATTCGGTCACACGAGTCATATTCGACTCAATGGAACCTACCAACAACAACTTGATCTTTCCACATCTATCATCCCGTGCTGTTGTTATTGTTCGTCGTCATTAAGTTAAGCAGGACTCATAGTAACCCCATGAACAACAGATCTGAACCCTGGTCTGTCCTGTGTCATCCTCACACTCTCCAGCACACCTGTTTTAATGAAAGATTTCTTCAGCATAGAAATGGATGAGGACCTCAGAGAAATGCAGCACCGTCGGCAACATATTCTCAGATCTCAACACCTGTAGAAACGGCTCTGGAAGGACATGATCAAACACGAAAACTCGGCCTAGTAAACATGTTTTGCTGGAGAAAGTGGGGTGTGGACAAGCACTTTAATGACTAAGTCTCTGTGCTGTTGTTGCTGTGTACAATTGAGTCATCACGAACCCCTCGCTGACCCTCCAGCAGATTTTCAGAGGCAGTAAATTACACAGGAGATTGCCCATCTTTCTTTCATGGGGCAGCTGGTTGGAGCCAAACCATGTACCTTTGCATTGACAACACAATTTCTAATCACTAAGCCACCAGGGCTCACTAGGTCTTTGAGGTAGAACAAAACAACAAAAATGGAGTGGGGTTGCCCATTAAGCAAGGTAACATCGGCTCTTTTGTGCTTATTTAGTAACGTGCAGTGAATGATTTCACTTTTTTTCATCCCATCAAAGATTCTGTTGTAGGTCTGGCTGACATTTGTCTCTCTCCCAACTCCACAGCACCATCCTCCAGAATCAAAAACTTGAGTCCAGAACGAAGGCTGAACAGTGGAGTGGACCTGAGGGGAGGGACTGTATAACAATGAAAGAATTTTACTTTTACTTTTCAAAGAGAAGAACGAACTAGAGGGGAGGAGTGGGCAGGGAGAAAAGTGCAACAATGAGGGAATGGAAATCCAAAATCTCTGTAATTTTTCATTAAAATTAATAATAACAATGATAAAATTTAAAAAATTAAACAACATGAAAGCAAACAAAAAACAACAACAAAAAATCTAACTTAAAAAAATAAATAAATAACTCTTTACAAATTTGCAGTGTCTGTCAGGAGTGGCGTGTCCAGTAAGCTAAATCTTGCTTGTCCATAACTACAATCTGTAATGAACACTTTCAAGTGTTTTTCACCACATCAAAGAAACCTATGTGAAATTGTTCACTACAGTTTGGTAGGTGAACTGATGTTTACCTTGCTTCTTGGTAATACACCCTAAATAAAGATAACCTTCCACAGCTGTGGTTCTCAAAGTGTGGTCCCTGGACCTGTGATCCATGCAAATCCTCAGCTTCCCTCCTTTTAAATCAGGACTTCTGGGGGAGAGGTGCAGCAATCTGTTAAGAACATTCCATGTGGTTCTACTGAAGCACGGACTCTTCTGCTCTGGGTGCATCAACTCTATCTCATAATGGGCAGCGGTAAAGGGTTCTCCAGCTCATTTCAGCTCCACAGAGCTATTTCTCACCTTAACAGCTGCACTGAGTGTTGAATTGTGTTACTAATGCAAAGTTAACATTATTCTTTTTTTCCCCCACTCAATATGAGATTATGGTACTCCAGTAGTGTGATTACTATTCAAATCAAAACCCACCTTTAGTGACAGACACGGCACAAGAGCTTGCCAAGGGCAGCAAATACACTTTAAAAAGCACTTACGCTGCTTGAAGACTTCAAGGGCCCGCTTCAGAGTGCTGAAAAACAAGCACATGCATAATTTCAGTTCTGGAAATTGTTTACCTAAATCTTAGGATAACGCCTTTGCACGTTTCTCTCTACAGACAGCAGACAGCAAATAGAATCATCATTGCTAGTCTGAAAGTTCAGCAGAAGAGCAAGATTTCCCTTCCCACACGCTCAGTTTCAGGCATAACTGTCATACACTCCTTGTTATTTATCTGAGCTGGACAAAGGAGCCCCGGTGGTGAAGTGGGTTAATCATTGGGCTGCTAAACAAAACATAGGTAATCTGAAACCACCAGCTTCTCAAACAAAGCTGAGGCAGACTGTTCCCATAGAGTCTTGTAAACCCTAGGGGGCATTTCTTAGATACATAGATAAATAGAAAGAATGATAGATTGACAAATAGAGATGCTCTTTTTAGTTTCTAATACTTTAATTGATCTGCATACAAGAATTTGTTTACAGGTCTCTTTGCTGAGAATTTCATAAGGTTAAAATCAATGTGTCGGCCAGGCTGCCTTCTCCTCTGGAGACTTGATTGGTGAAGAATCTCATTGTAGGCTCACTAAGGCCATTGCCAGACTTCACTTCCTTGCAGCTGTAGAACTGAGAACCTCAGCTTGTGAGAGCTGTCACTTAGAGGCTGTTTTCAGTTCCTAGAAGCTAGCTGTCGTTCCTAAAGATCGACCATGGCTCTCCTACCAAGTTCATGTTCTTCATCGAGCCGCCAAAGTGCATCCCTAGGCCAAGTCAGCTAGCGAGATGAGATCTTATCTAAAATAATCAGCAGTGATATTCCATCATCATACCATAGACATGGAAGGCCAGGATTCATTTTTTGCCTTTTTTCTCTCAGTAGTTCTTTTCTCTCCCAGATAACCAGCTCCCCATCATGCACGGTCTTAGTCTTCAGCAAGCACAGTTCCTGAAGTAAACCCTCCCCTCGGGTGAGGACCTGGGTAATGTTTGTGAACACTGCTATCTTCCTGATGGTTGATCTCACTGAGTTCACTCCAGCTGTTCAAGTGGGAATGGGATTTGATGAATTCACGATCCTCTATGCACAGCAGCATTTAGTACACGTATACATGGAAATTCTGCTAGTCTTCTAAGAAAAATCATGATAATTGACAGTCCCTGCTAGACATCAAACTTGGAAAGGTGGAGGGTCAATGAAATAGAAGAAGACCCTCAATGAGATAGACTGCAGCAATGGGCTCAAATATGTCAGAAATTATGAGGATGGCACAGGATAGGACAGGGTTTAGGTCTGTTGTTCATACGGTTGCTATTAGTCCTACTCAACTAGACAGCACTTAAAAACAGCAGCAAACCTCTGTTCTTAGTTACCTCACATATACCTCACTGTCTTTTCTCACAGAAATATTTCCAGTCACAGAGGTATGCAGTTCGAATCCACCACATGCTCTGCTGGAGAAGGAGGAGCAATCTCCTCTTGTACCAGTCAGATCCAATTTGATGATACACACACACAAAAATAATAAAATTTAAAACTATTTCCAACAATTATTATAAACATATCAAGCATAAAATACATACATGTACATACTCTGTCCACTTTACCCAGTTTATAATACAATTTCAAAGAATACAAAAAAATTAATCATTGTCTTAGAAGAATGAATGAGCATTCTTAATGAGTGGGCTTTTTGTCATAATTATTGACAGAAAGATGAATGTGGAAGCAGATACGTTTGAAAGTCTCTCACTAACATGTGTTGCAGGGTCCAAAAACCTTTTAACCTCCGAATCAAAAGTCTCTTCAGAGTTTAAAATGAATATGAGCTCATGTTTGTACAATCTTTCACCTGATGAAAAAATATAGAAGTTCCCACGGATGCTGGATTTTCTGTAAATGCTGCTCTTTTGACCTTATATAGTCAAAGAATAAGAGCTAAAGAGTGAGTGCCTCCTAATGTTATTGGGTTTTGTTATTTGTCTGAAAGTTGAGCCATGATAGCGGGTTTTGTTGTTTTGGTCTTGCTTTGTGGGGTTTTGATTTGTTATTTGTTTGCTGGGTTTTTTGGAGGCTTTTTACTGTTATTGGGGTTTTTTAATATGTGTAAAAAATTAATATATGAAGCTTTTTAAAATAAATTATAAGTACAAAAATATATTTCTATTTTAATATATTTTATCTTTATAATTAATAATTTTAGAACATTTTCTCTTTCTAATATATCGTTTATATTTTATAATATAAAAATATTTATAATTATAAATTTTTAAGCATTTTAAAATTATGCCAGCAGAACTTAAACTATGTATATTTAACTGGAGATCCTGTACAGCTGCTCATGAAGCCAGCTGTGCATAGGAGGCCGTGTATGCCGAAAGTAGGCATCATATAGCCCTGTTTGCACCCTCAGAGTGCTTGATGAACAGCAGAGGAATAATTATTGTGGTGGTGAAAGGTCACATTGGTGGAGAGACCTTACAAATGGTGCAGAGACAGGCTCCAATTGTTATCACAGCTAAACATGCACGTGTGTGCATGTGTGAACGTGTGCACGAAACAAACAAATCCCATAACATTTCTAGTGTTATGTTTTATAAATAGTGTAAACTCCCATGCGATTTACAGCCTCTGAAAACTCACTGGAGCGTCAACTATGAGTTTATGCTGATTCAACAGCACAACAACTGATAGATAAATATGAATAAGGAAGAACTTCAGGGGAAATGTGAACACAGTAATAATGAGTTGTGGCTTCAGAATTCATTTTCAGCCTCCTCTCTGCTTCTGTAACTTTTAAAAAGTATTAAATAAGGGGTGGGGGGAATACTAGATTAAAAGCATTTTCTCCTAACACATTGCCTTCTGTCTGAAGTGATAAGAGTCTGACAATTATCTGTCAGCCTGGAAACTGGAAAGAAATATGATACTTACTTGATCTCAGACTGTCCACATGGCTTCTTCCTAGAGAGGCTGAGCAGATCTTTGCCATATCTCTCTTCTATTGATGCCCTAAGATGAACAAAAGAGAGGGTGATGAGTTCTCAAGGTTGACTCCTGCCTAAGACCCATGAGCTTGTCACTTGAAGACAATTGCCCTTGACAGCAGAGGCTCAACTAGCATTCCAGTCCTCTGACTTGCAAAAAAGGTCAAAAGACTTTCATCTAGGTGATCTTTGCCAGCTAAAATTTCACAGAGTGAACTCAACAGCAATACTGAGTGTGATACCCTGGCCATGGCAGCTTAATATTTTAGAGACTACCAGTTCAAAGCCATCATCCAAGAATTAAAGGGGTGGAAATAAACAGAATAAGAGATCATTTCTCTCAACGGCTACACCCCTGATGCTGAACTTTTCTTTCAGTAAGACTTTTCCATTCAAACACACAAAAATGCAAATTGTGTCCCCAAAAGTGGAAACTTCAAGTACAAACTGCAGTTGGCACATCTCACATAAGTGGCTGATTAGACCTTGCCCATCATTGTCCTGTCTTTTCACCTGGTTCCTTCTCATTTCCTTCCCTCCCTTTCTCTCCCTCCACCTATTTTTATAAAACATAATTCATGAGAATTATTGTATGAAACACAATGCGGACAAAGAATAATGTGAAACATTATGTACACAAACTTTGTAAGCAAATCAATTAAAAAAAAATAAGTGATTATAACACAGTGATTGAGGAGCCTAAAGTCCCTAGAACTATCCCATGTTCTCTGTCATTATAGCCACTTCTTGCCCCAGTCCTCATCTTAACCTAAACCATAATAATTGTTTAAAGGGATTTAAGGAAGTGCTGGTGGCCTAGTGGTAAGAAGCTGTGCTGCAAACTCAAAGGCATACAGTTCGTACTCACCACAGCTCCACAGGAGAATGGGCACCTCTGAAAACTCACTGGACAATCAGCTATGGTTTGCTTCTGACCCAAAGGCACACAACCACAACAGGCTGGTCTGAGTCATCCTGGTGGTGCAATGGCTAAGTATTCAGCTGCAAACCAAACACCTGGAGATTTGAACTCAATAGTGGTTCTGCAGGAGAAAGACCTGACAGTTTGCTCCAAGAAAGATGATGTTGTTGTCATTCATTGCCCTTGAGTTGGCATCAACTCATAGCTGACCCTCCAGTGGGCTTTCAGAGGCTGTAAATCGCTTAAGAGGAGATTGCTCTTCTTTTTCCCACAGAGCAACAGGGAGGTTTGATCCTCCTACATTTGTGTTGGGAGCGCAACTCCCTACCCACTAGGCCACTGGTGCTCCCTAGTTTTTCTACAGCTTAGAAAAGCCTATGAGACAGTTCTACTGTGCCCCAAAATCACTATGAGTTAACAACAGGCTAGTCTACCCTACTTTATTTGAAAATTGTAAAAGTTAACAAGTTATAAATAAACATTCTCATAGCACATGATTCAAGCAACATAAGCTACATAGAATAATATGCAAAAATCCCCTTTCATGATCTTCTTCAAGCCCATTTCTGTCCCCAGGGATCATTAACTCTATGTGGTGATATATCTCATTCTGGTCCTTTTTTCTCTGCATTTGCATGCAAATCCAGGCACACACGTACACATATACACCTCATTCTATTATTTGTTACTCTGTAACAAATGCAGGTAGTATGGTGGATTACTCTTTAGATTACATAAAGTTGGTAGTTCAAATCCATCAACTGCTCTGCAGGAGAAAGATGTGGCAGTCGTCTCTCACAAAGAACTCTCAGAAAGCCAATGGAGAGTCCCCATAAGTTGGAATCAACTTGGCAGTAGGCTTGGGTTTAGGTTTTTAATTCGTTTTCGCCTAGTAATGCATCTTATAGAATTTTTCTTCTCAGTTCATATGGATATACCATGTTTGTAGCTTTCCATGGTAAGGGATTTTTAAACACCATTAGAAAAGAAAAAGCAAAATTAGCATACTTGCATAAGTATGATTACACATTTCCAAAAGTGTGTCTCTGGGATAGATTTCTTAGAAAGTGGATTTACTAGATCAGAGGGGTATGCATTTTAAATTTGGAGGAAATAGGGCCAACTTGCCCTCCAAAACAGCTTTGTCACTATATCCTTCCACCCTAGCTGAAGAGGCACACATTAAAGACACTGAAGGTTCCATTTCAGATCATTACAAGAAAACCAGTATCAAATAAAGTATGCCACAATGAATGACTGAAAACCTTAAGTCTCTGTAAACTTTCATTAAAATTAGCTAAAAAAAAATAAGGAAAAAAGTGTGCCACACGAATTTTTTGTTTGTTAGTTTCTTTGTGCATATGAACATTATGTTTACACTATATTGTAATATATTGGGGGTGCATTAGTGTTATGAAAAGGTTTGAAATATTATGAAAATTTCCAAAATGGAAAACAGAGACATGAGAGGAACACATGCTGCTGGGAAAATGGCACTGATTTTAGATTTACACCATGCAAACCTGCCACAGACTTTCAATTTATAAAATATGCTATGATCATGAATTTCAAGAAAACGAGACGTATGAGCCTGTATATGAGTTCCCATTTCCTGGAACCTTCACCCATGTGAGAGGTAAAAAATCTTTCTAATCCCATCTCTCATCTTTCTAGTGACCTGATGCATTATTTCATATGATTACCGGGCATTTATATTTCCTTTTTTAAGTTATCTACTCACACACATTCCTGTTGTTTAACTGAGTATACTGGGATTTCCCCCCCCGCCCCTATTGTTTGGTTATGTTGTTATGCATCGTCCCAAATTATACCTGACCCTCCAGTGGGTTTTCAGGGGCTGTAAATCACATGGGAAGAACCTAACCATTTTTCTCCCTTAGAGAATTTGAACCTTGAACCTCTGTCTTGGCAGTACAACTCCTTACTACTGTAGGAATTCCTTACATTTATAGATATGTCTTCTTTTATATAATACAAAATTTCTTTCTCCCCTGTGTCATATGTTTTACATAATGTGTTTCTCTATTTTTTAAGACAACTATTAAATATTTATATACAAATAATATACATATTGAGAACATGTATTTATTTTTAAGCAAGATAATCTGGTCTACTTTATCGTAAAGCACAGATCACTATGACATAGTAAGAAGGGTTCTATTGCATGTGCATATGGATTCTAATAACTTGAGGCCTCATAATCCTGAATTACAGAATAAAATACGCCCCCGAAGAAACAGAAGAACAGTCCAAACAGTCCAAATGACAAGTAGGTTAATGGCTATATCCATTGGCTTGCAATACAAACATACCAATTTTGGCTAGCTTTGAATATTCTATTTTAAGCTTCATTTTTGATCCAGAGCTTTTGGCAACATTAGACTTTGTAGTTTCCCTGTTACAACATGCTTCTGGAAACATGTTTCTCCATTTTGTCAAAGGGATACACATACATTATATTTAAAACAAGTAAAAAGAAAAGTACAAAGTAGAAAACAACAAATTGTCCAAAATTTCACCACTCAGGAATAAGTTGGGTTAGCATTTGTTGATAATCATAATGAACATTTCTTCCTGCTCATAATAGATAGAATGGAGGAATAGAAATATAACACATAAATAATTTTAAAAGAATGAGACCATAGTCTACATTTTTTTAAAAAAAGAATAATAGTAATCAATGGCATAGTGTTATAAATGTAGAAATTTTTGTATTGGTGAATGTTTCGATATGGGTATTTTTACCACAGTTAATTTTTTCCAAATGAATAAAACTAATTCTACTATTAGTTTAATTTTATAGAAAAAAGGGAAACTAAATATCAAATAATTGTCCATTTGTACAAAATTTAAAAAAAAAATCACTTCCTAAATGATCCTTCTGAGGTGAACAAACCAGACCCACTTCCATTGAGCCAGTTCTGACTTGTGGAAATCATCCATTGCCTTTTGGAGACTATACAACTTTACGGGAAGAGGTTCTCCATCTTTCTCCCTTGAAGGGGCTGGCAGACTCAAACCACCAACATTTGGGTTAGCAGTCCGATATGCAATGCAGTAAGCCAGCAGGGCTTCTTAAGGTTGAGAGAACTTGATGGAAATGCTTGAGACCCTTGCTTGTTTAAGGCTTAGCCTGTTTTTAATTGTCTGACAGCAGCCTGTGGAGATAATGAGCTCCACTGTCCAAACTTCCCTGTCTGCAGAGAGAAAGGAGAGTCATAAAGGAATGCTGCCATCATCCACATCTAGAATTTAAAGAGGGAGGCTGGACCCTTCAGAGAGGAAAGAACAATGGCTGGCTCCTGTCTGTGCTCTTTTCATTAGACGCACATCATGGAAATGCTCCAGTCCCCTTAGACCTCAGCGACAGCTCCAAGAGAGGCTTCCTTACAGGGACGAGGCAACCAGTGTGATAAACTTGATCATTATATAATATTCTCTTGGGCAAAAGACTTTATCGAAAACCTTCTGATGTCTCCAGATTCTGACCCCATCACTCAGCGCCTTACAACCAAAACGTGCTCATTAACATGGATACTGGCAATGGTCCTGTTCTTTGGTAAAAACCAAAACAAACCTCTCAGGCAAAACTTCATCCAGAATCACTTGAGAAACAGAGCTTTTCGGAGGAATAAGATATTCGCCAAAATTGACTTACATCATTAAGTACAGATTTTTTTTAAAAAAGCCAAATTTACCACTAAAATAAAATCTTCAAAACCACTTCAGTTTTGCAGAAACCACAAAGCCCCACCACCCACCGGACCTCGCCCAAATCTGTCCCTCTACGTTTCTCACAAACTCCCTTACGCTCGGTTCTTCCCTTTCAGTTAGATGTCCTGCCACAGATATTTGGGTCTCTTTCCTTTATCAATGCAAAGCTCCCCACCCCCAAAGGCCACCTCAAGGATCTCCTCCATAAAGCTCACCCTTCTCCTCTCACCTGTTTTATACCGCATTCCTTTTCCCTGAGGTCTCTCAGTGTCAGGTGGACCACACCACTTAGAATTACATTTGCTTTCTCATTTATAAATGTTATCTCCCACCCTGATTTCTAAGAACCTTGTTGTTGCTATTGTGTACTGTGCAGTCAGAACCGACTCACTGCTGACCCTCCAGCGGGTTTTCAGAGGCTGTAAACGGCACAGGGTGAGAGGCCCAGCTTCCTCCTGCAGAGCAGCTGGTGGATTGAAACCACGTGTTTTTGGATCAGCAGGGAAACTCTTAACCACTGAGCCACCAGAGCTACCTTCTGAGAAACTCAGGGAAGGGTTTTATTTACTTCTTGAGTATTATTCCACTGCTGATAGCAAGAGATCTAAAGGGGGGAAAGGGGAAGAGATACAAAACAAACAAACAAACAAAACCAACAACAAATAAACAGTGCACCATTCTTTCATTAAGGAACTCTAGTGGCATACTCACACGGTGTTATAGTGCTAACTCAGAAGTGGCACTGTCTCTGGCAGTTTGGTGCCAGCAACAGTCCAATGGAAGAAAGCTAGACAGTCTCCCGCATTGCGATTTACAGCCCCCTGAAATCTGCTGCGGGTTGGAAGAGGGGGAGGGAAGGTCAGCTCTAAGTTGGTTCCTACCCAACAGCAATGAGTTTGTTTTTGAGTTTTGCTCTGCTCTTTAGTCACATGGAAGAATCCATCTCCAATCCCCAGTCCCCATCTTCAGAGAGGAAACAACACTGTACCTTTCTTTTAAAAAGTCTTCAAATTCTTTGCAGTTCTTGCGGCCATTGTTGAGGTGCTGGATGATGCTGTCATAACCGACGGTGCTGAGGATGTCCGAGCTCTGCAGATGAGAAAAAGACAACATTGCATCAAGCAAGGGCAAACATAGCAGCCTGAGGCGGGAGCAGCAGTCAGTCAGTGAGAAATTCTGGAAATACTTTATGTCCTTACTAAAGACATCACTAGAGGGCTGCCCAGGATTCAGGGGCTAAGGTGGATGGACGGTGGTCGACCACACTGTCAGAGGGAGTGATACCAAAATGACTATAAACTTGTTCTGCAGTGTTTCAGCAGAAACGTTTTTTAATGTCCCTATAGATAGTTATAACAACAAAAGCCTTTTTTATAAGCTCGGGCTCTTTCTCTCTCTTTCTCCCCTCCCTCCCAGTATATATCTCAATACACCTACAAGGGTCAAACTCTATGTTAATTTACATTTTGAACTTCCTAAGAATAGCAAGTCTGTCTTGGAGGAAGTACAATCAAGGTGCTCTGTAGAGGCAAGGATGGTGAAACTTCGTCTCACATATTTTGAGCATGTTTTTGAAAGGGATGTCATGCTGGGAAAGGTGGGGGTGTCAGAGAAAGAGAGGAAGACCCTCAACAAGATGGATTTATATAGTGACTGTTGCAATGGGCTCCCACATTACATGGAAAGGATGGGGCAGGTAGGGAAAGGTTCAAATCTATTTTTCAGAGTCACCGTGAGTCACAGTTGACTGGACTGCACCTAACAAAAACAACAACAATCATCTACAGATGTGCCCAGATAAAAGCCTTCATTATGATCCAATTACAATGCCGCTTCACATCATGTCATCTAATCTCCACGTGATGCAAGTGCATGCTATTGTTTTCTTTGCTGCTAATGTTTCTATAGTCACTGATTCTGTTAAATTGTGTGGTGTTTTAGCTAAAGCATTGTGGTAATTTTATACTTTTGTGAACCTATCATTGCTGATGTCAAATGGATCCTGGCTGAAAACAGATAATACCAAAAGAGTGTCCATTTATGTTCTATTGACTATAAAAAGTATTTTGCTATATTGTTCATAACAAACTATGGCTAATATTGAAAAGAATGGGAATCCAGAACACATTGTTGCTGTTGTTGTTGTTGTTGTTATGTGCTATCAAGTCGCTTGCAACTCATAATGACCCTATGTACAAGAGCCCTAAATGCCGTTCTATCCTGTGCCAACCTCACTGTCTCAAAGGCACTCACTTCCACCACTCCCTCATAGAATCGATCCATCTCATCGAGGGTCTTCCTCTCCTTCGCCGCCCCTCCACCCTCCCAAACATGATGTCCCTCTCCAAGGACCAGTTCCTCCTTGCAACATGCCCAAAGTATGTCAGATGAAGCTTCAGAATCCTTGACTCCAAAGAGCATTCTGTCTTCACCTTCTCCAGGACAAACCTGTTTGTTCTCCTAGCAGTCCATGGTATGTTCAACACTTCTCCAGCACCACAGCTCAAAGGCATCAATTCTTCTATCAACCCTGTTCACTGTCTAACTCTCTGATGCATAGCACATAATTGCAAAGACTATAGCCTGGATCAGGTGCATCTTAGTCTCCAGCCTGACGTCATTGCTCTTCAGTACCCTTGAGAGGTCCCTCACAGCTGACTTTCCCAATGCAAATTCATCTCCTAATTTCCTGGCTGCTGCTACCAAGAGTGTTAACTGTGGAACCAAGTAAACTAAAACTGTTAACTATCTCAATCCCTTCACCATCTATACTGATGCTGCCAATTGGCCCAGTGGTGAGAATCTTTATTTTCTTGATGTTGAGCTTCAATCCACATTGAAGACTGCAGTCCTTGACCTTCTGCCGCAAGCGTTTTAGGTCCTCCTCAGTTTCAGCAAGCAGGGTTGTGCCATCCACATAATGCAGGTTGTTGATGATTCCTCCATCAATCCTGATGTCACATTCCTCCTCGTACAGCCCAGAATGATCTGTTCTGCATACAAATTGAAAAGGTATGGAGACAAAATACATCCCTGATGAACCCCCTTCTGGATTTTGAACCATCCAGTGTCTCCCTGCTCTGGTCTGATGACTGCCTCTTGGTCTAAATATAGGTTTCACATTAGCACAATCAAATGTTCTGGGATTCCCACTCTTCTCAGAGTCAGCCACAGCTTGTTTTGATCCACACAGTCAAAAGCCTTTGCATAGTCAATGAAGCACAGATAGACATTCTTCTGGTATTCTTTGCTTTCTGCCAAGATCCATCTTACATTAGCTATAATATCCCTAGTACCACGACCTCTTCTAAATCCAGCCTGCACATCTGGCAGTTCTCTGTTGACATATTGTTCCAAACATTTTTGGATAATTTTCAGCAGAATCTTGCTTGCATGTGATATCAATGATATTGTTGGATAAATTCCAGAACACACAAGTATGCTTATGTGAAATCTATAACTAGACTAAGAAGCTGTTGTCCAAACAGAACAAGGGAACAGTAGATGGCTTAAAATCAGGAAAAGTGTGCATCAGGGATGTATCCTTTCTCCATACTTATTCATTCTGTATGCTGAACAAATCATTTGAGATACTGGACTCTTTAAAGAAGAATGAAAAATCAAGAAGGGGGAAGACTCATTAACAGCCTGTGTTATGCAAATGGTACAACTTTGCTTGCTAAAATGGAGGAGGACTTGAAAACGATTGCTGAGTTTTCAAGTAGATCGATATGCTTTCAATACGGATTACATTTCAACATCAAGAAGAAAAAAAATCCTCACCTCTGGACTTATAAGCAACGTCATGATATAGAAAAGATTGAAATTGTCAATGATTTCATCTCACTTAGGTCGACAATTAACGCCCTTGGTACCAGCAGTCAGGAGATCAAGAGATGTATTGCATTGGGGAAGTCCACTGTCAGGGACTTCTTTAAATTACTGAGGAGCAATGATGTCAGTTTGAAGATTAAGGTACACCTGGTTTAAGCCATGTTCTTTTCAATCACTTGCTACACATCTGCAAGATGGACATTGAATAAAACTGACAGAAGAATTGATGCCTTTGTGTTGTGGTGTTGAAGAAAGCACTGAACGGCCCATGGACTGCAGAAAAATCCAAACAGATACATGCTGGAAAAAGTGAAGCCAGCCTGCTTCTTGGAGTCAAGGATGTTGAAGCTTTCTTTGTCTCATATATTTTTGAAATGCTGCTAGGAGAGGCTATTCCCTGGAAAGGAATATCATGCTAGGAAAGGTGGAAGATCAGTGAAAGAGAGGAAGATCTTCAGTGAGATGGATTGACATGGTGACTGCATCAATGGGCTTCAGTGTGTCAGAGATGATGAAGATGGCACAGGATAGGACAGGGTTCAGATTTGTTCACAGGGTCACTGTGAGTTGTATTCGACCTGATGGCACCTAACAACAATGACACATCAGCAATTTTTTTAAATGAAGTAATAATTAAAGAAAAAAGGGAAGAAACATTTCTGCTCAATTACTTGATAATGTTGTCATTCAATGTAGATTGACTTTACAAAACAATTTTGTTCCTTTGTTGTTGTTGTTTTGTTATTATGTGCCGTCGAGTCGCTTGCTTGCGACTCATAGCGACCCTATGTACAACAGCCCTAAACCTTGCTCTATCCTGTGCCAATCGCACTGTCTGTGACACTCCCATCCCAATTATCCCAGTCATTGAATCAATCCACCTCATAGAGGGCCTTCCTCTCCTGTGCTGTCCCTCCACCCTCCCGAGCATGATGTCCCTCTCCAAGGACCGGTCTCTCCTCACAACATGTCCAAAGTATGTTAGACAGAGCCTCAGAATCCTTGCCTCCAAGGACTAGCCTGGTTTAACCCTTTCCAGGACAAATCTGTTTGTTTTCCTAACAGTCCATGGTATTCTCAATACTCTTCTCCAGACACAGCTTAAAGGCATCAATTCTCCTTCTATCCTCCTTGGTCATTGTCCAACTCTCTGATGCATAAAAGTGATTGTGAAGACCATAGCCTGTATCAGACGCACCTTAGTCTCCAGAGAGACACCGTTTCTCTTCAGTACTTTGAAGAGGTCCCTATAAAGTAAATTTTGGAGTAATTCATTGAAAAAAAATATTATTTGTAAACTTTCACTCAAATAAAAAAATGTAAATAAAAACCCAAAAGAGGAGAAACCCAAAAGTTTCACCATGAGTTGAAATCAACTCAGAATGTAAAACCAAATCAATTTTGCTGTTAATATTTATATAATCTAAAATAATACTATATGTAAACAATTTACAACTATGTCCTGTATCATTCTGTTATTAACATTTATATTACACATTACTAAGGATTCTGTATGGTCTGGTAGGAGAGGAGGTCCTTGGAGGCAGAGGTTGGCCACACTGGGTGACCGTAACCCTAGTGATACCACTCCTTCTCAGGTGACTAAGAAGAATAGCAGAAGTAAGAGCACATGCAGCTTGGGAAGCTTTTATAGTTATGAAACTGAAGACCCACAGAACAGAAAGGAAGTAGCCGTGGATTACAAGGTTCATGGATGAGTACGTTCAGCTCCCTCTCTGTGTGCTCAAAGCATGGGCTAAGTCAGGCTGGAGAAGGAGAGGAGTCAAGTGGAAGGAACTCACATGCAGCCCTCTGCACTTTGCTTCATCATGCAGCTAAGTGGAAACTGATTCATAGTTTAAATCCATTTTTAAATAAGGGTTATAAAAGTTTCCCATTATCTGTAGTTTTGTTGCTGTACTGCTGCTGTTTACTTGTGGTATGGGAAAGAGAGGACACATGAAGCTATCTATCAACCCAGCCCTGGACATTGGAAAGCAGAATTTCTTCCATCAGTTTGCTGACATTTATGATGAACTTGCTGAGGCTTCCAGAGAGGCCCAAGAGGACCAAGGCTTGAAGCTGGTTTCCACAGGGCACTTAGATACTTGATTGGCCATAACTCATAGCCCATTTATAAAAATATATTTATGTAATCATAACAGATTCTGATGTAAAGGATCTCTCCAAAGGGTTAAAGAGCAACAGTGTCAGTTTAAAGACTAAGGTACACCTGATTCAAGCCATGGTATTTTTAATTAATTCCCATAAAACTGAAAGTTGGGCAATGAATACTAGTGACAGAAGACTCAATTCCTTTGAGTTTAAAAAGTGGTGTTGTTCAAATTTTTTTTATTACTTTTAATGAAACTTTACAGAGACTTTGGATTTCCATTGTCACACAAGTTCCTCCCTGCCCATCCCTCCTCCCCTAGTTTGCTCTTCTCTTTGAAAAGTAAAAAAAAAATAATAATAATAATTTCATTGTTATACAATCCATTCCCCACGCTAGTCCACTCCACTATGCAGCCTTCATTCTGGACTCCTGTCATGACGATAATACCTAATCACATATCCCCTTTAAACAGTTCTCTAAGAAAAGAGGGGATCAATAATGTATACTACATTGAAACAGATGAGGGAGAGAACTATGTCATTCAGAGTTTTAAAAATGACTTTTCTATTCCTTGCCTTAGACTTGACCACACAGCAAGGTGGTTACCTGTAAGTAAAATGTATCTTTGAGGATCCACCCACCACCCTTAGCTCCCCTGAGGGCTTGATGTCCAACTGCCTCAACTGCAGATCAATGTCTTCAACTATGAACAGCTGTGAGACTAACACAAGAAAGGAAGCTAACCAGACCAGAAAGAGACGATGGCACCGTGTAGCCTGACAGAGCCAGGGCCCAGGTGCTTGAGATAAAACCAGGAGATGGAGATAGGAATAGAGGCCTCAGACAGAGACAGAGGTTTTATTGCTGGAAGGAAATTGCTAACTGTAGAAGCTGTTTGTATTTGTGTTGCTGTTTCTCACATTTGTGTTGCTGGACTGAACTTAAACTTTCACTATGTGATATATTTTGCCTTCCCTCCTTACCTCCCACAATCTGTTTCCCTACTAAACCCCACAACTGTGAATAAAAAGAGGTAAAGTCTGTGTGGTCATTTGCAATGAATATCAGACCCAGTGATTAGTAGAAGTAGATACAACAGAGTAGAGGGCCATGTCTGACCTCGCAGGGATCCGTTTTATACTGTGAATTTTGTTGATGAGCACAGTTCCCATTTGTGGAATTAGTAAAGGTCAAACTTGATTATCTCCACGTTATCTTTGCTCCTTTTACAAAGAGTATCGAATATCCTATGAACTGCCAAAAGAACAGACGAGTCTTTCTTAGAGGCAAGGATAATGAAACTTCATCTCACAAAATGTGGGCATGTTTGTCA